AAAAATGGATGTAATTTTGTAACTGGTGAAGCAAGACCGATACGTAAAGTGCTCCACATGAATGAATGGAACGAAATATGATTGACCAAAATACCTTCAGTGTAATGTAACGAAAATGAACATTTTTCGAAACGAATCATTACGGGTGATGAAAAATGGATTAAGTATGATAAAATCCAACACAAGCCTTCATTGTCAAAAGCCGGTGACCCTCCGCAAGCAACTTCAAAACCTGAATTGAAACAGGAATATGTTAAGTGTTTGGTGGAATTGGTAGAGAACTGTTTATTACGAACTACCCATGCCTGGTGCAACGGTTAATTTGACCCTGCTCACAACACAGTCGATTTAATAAAACAACCAAAGAAAAAACCCCAGAATTGACTAACAGAAAACAAGTTGTATTCCATCATGATAATGGCAGGCCAAATCCATTTTTTGAATTTGAAACAACTTGACGGAAATGGTTGGAAAGTTTTAATGCATCGCCCGTATACTCCAGATCTTGCACCATTTGACACCGATTTATTTTGATCTCTGCAATGTTCTCTTAATAGTAAAAAATTGGACGTCCAAAGAGCCGCTAAAAATCACTTCGCGAAGTTTTCACAGTTCAACCACATAAATTCTATATCGATGGAATTGTGAAGCTACGGCAAGACGTTATAAATAATAAATGTCAAAATAAATTTTATTAAAAATAATTATTAATAAAGAATATTTTTATATAAAATATGAAATCAATATAAAAGTCCGTTCAACAATATTCTTAATTAAATTCGACCCACAGTAGTCAAAATACTTGGTAACGTATTCACTTGAATTAACAACTGTAAAATGAAAAAAAATATATTAGAACTTACCTCAAAATCATCCCAATCATTAAGCAAAGTAGCTATCTTTTTTGCTTCCCACCACATAATCGGCACAAGAAAAATGGGTAAAATATTCACCAAAAATAAATAGGCGATAACAGCTTCCTCAAATGGACCCGTCAGTGAGGTTACAATATTAATCCGATTATTTGCAACAAATACCACATAAACCTAACAAAATAAAATTATTTTATAAAAACAAATTAAATTTTAATCTATAAAAACCTTACCGTCAAGAAAATAAAAAATATTATCGAATAACCGAACGACAGCGAGGCTATTAAAAATTGATTATGTCCTGGTCTTGACCTTGTTATAGGCATAACACCTATCATGCGTAAAAACCATTGAGCAGGTGCAATATTACGATAGAAAACGCTCTACATATTAAAATATTTAAAATATATATCAAAAAAAATAAATATATAAAATATATCATTATTATATTAAATATTGTAATAAATAATTAATTAATTAAAAACAAAATTATTATTAAATATTGTACATTTATACGAAATTTAATACTTTTTTTTATATGTATGTGTATTGGTGAAAAAATATTGATTCAGTTTTAATGAAATATATATATTATATATTTTCATCCGGTTTGTTAACTTTGTCTTACTATGTAATATTTACTATACATATATGTATATTTAACAACTCATATGAAACGAATAATGTCTAGAACGTATAGTCATCACACATTTTATCCATATAAGACAGAGGTCGGAATAGAGTTAAGGCTTTAAATAATTCCAAGTTATGATAAAATAATTGGGTTTTAAATAATTGTTTCACCCGAGATAAGCGTATGAGCCCAAAGACGTATCCGTTCAACAGAATTTTCCATTTAACAGGGGTCTCCGTACAACAGCGGAGGAACTTATAATATCCTGGATCAATATATATTTGTATAGATACCATACAAGAATTAATTAACAAACTTACTGGTGTGAATTGTGGATTCATTGAACTAATAGTCGATATAGAGTGTCGAGTGCCACGTCGACTTTCGATACCTTCAAATCCACTATCCATGCGGTCCAGTAACGCATTACTATATTTTCGTACTGCTGTGGTGTTAACAGGTTTAACATTCAAAAATAATGCCTCAGCCTTCTTCTTTCGATTGTAATTATTATAATTATTCAACATTTTTGGTTTGCGTCTCCTGGAACTGCTAAGAACTGCTCACAATGATAATCCAAATTGAACTGAACGATATCATTAACTTCAGTTTCAAGGTAACTTCGCCGGGCGTTAACCAAAGTAGTTAAGAATTCAATTTGTTGACTTTCAGAATTTTTAATTCTACTATTATTTGCTTACCAAATTTCCACGCTGACTAATGACGAGTATTGAAAACTAAAAATTATTGATTTCATAATAGTGTTTGTAGGAGAAGATTTTTTCGAATCGCTTGCATATTCTTGACCTTAGCCTAGAAATTTGGTATACCAAAAGAAACTTGTGTTTTTTATTTACATTGACAATCCTAATGTCAATAAGTTAAGAGCAGGTCAAGATCACATATTAAATTTAACGAAAAGTTACTATTTTTATATTAAAGTAAGTATGATGATTTATTTTAGGATTATGACAAGAAAAATGAAGATATGCCAATAGTAACATTTTTGTGTTCATATTTGATTTTCTTACTAGTTTCAATTGGAAAAATGGCCATTGCACCAATGCTTCAACGTCAACGTATTCCGACAAGTGGATTGTGCAGAAGTTGCCATAATGAAGATGAGATAGAATCCAGTAATCACTTTCTGTCTTTGTACGAGACTACAGAGGAAGTGAGACTACAGCTTTATTTGAAAAACCAGTTGGTTTAATAAGAACAATTCAAGAAACTACAATGATTAGTGCAGCTCGCCTCTCCCGGGTAAATTCGCGGCAATAGATGTCTCCAAGTGGCAGGGGTGGCAGCTCTCAACATGTTTTTATTCTTGTCATAAATTTATTTATAAGAAGTTTTTATGTATATTTACTGCAAAGATATAAATATTTTTTTCTAATGGCGTTTTCGATTGTTAAATCTGAATTCAATCTGGATTTACTCTCGATCTGTCAAATTGTTTTGTCCAATCGGAAATTTTTGAAATAATCTAAATTTATACATTTTTTTTAACAGCGGTTAATTTCAGGGTAATCTTGCTACTCTGCAAAAATATCTAGAGTGTTATAAATTAATCTCGAGTGTTGTACATTTTGTCCGAGATTCATTAATCGAAAATAAAATTGCACTAAAAGTGCATTAAAACAGCATCTCGATTAAAAAAAATTACCCCAGATTTAACAATCGAAAATAAGAATACAATAAGAATACGATATAGATATTTATACAGTAGGTGAATTTCCTAAGACCTGGAAGCTGGTCACAGTAGTTGTCTTCCCTAAACTGAATAAGAATCCACTATTCACGCAGAACTGGCGCCCCATAAGCCTGTTATCAATGATGTGAAAGATACCCGTAAGGGTAATTCTTGGCAGATTAAATGCAATAGTGGTTTCACGCAATATACTCCTTGACGAGCAATTTGGCTTTAGGAATGACCTGCTCACGGAGCTTCAACTAACTAGAACGGTCCAGAGAGTCGACTTGAATGATAATTTTTGATATTTGACTCGCAGTTAATAGAGAGTAAAAGTGCTGGAGTACGCTAACTCAACTAGATTCAACATTTTACAAATATACTGTATAAAATATTTCTACAACTTTTCTATGCTTGTCAAATATTTGTAACATTTATTTAAATCTATATTAAAACAAGTCGTTAACTTATATTGTGATTGTCAACGTACTTAATAACACAAAAATTTGTTTTTTTTTGTAAATAATTAAGGATGAATATAGCAAATATGAAATAGTTTTTGTAATTAATAATTAAAATGAAATTTGTTTTCTAAATGAATTAACACCAAAAATACAGTTTTGCGCCACCTGGGTTTCAAGTTCCTGTGCTTAATAGCTTCTAAATGCAACCCTGTGCAGTTTTTTGTTTTGACAATTGTGTGAGAAAATTCTAGCAATTTCAATAAAACTGCCGCATTGTGTAGCAAATATATTTTTTCGTATATTTTAAATTTTCAAATCCTTTGGTTTAAATAAACGTTATTCTAAAAATGGTGGACTACAGCA